GTTAAAGTACACTCTTCAAGCTGTTTTTCGCGAGAGAACGTTTTCTTCTTCCCGCGAGATACGTCCCACGCGATGGAATTGCGATTTTGCACGTTACACGAAACTAAGTGAAACTAGAGCACTAGCGAGTCGACTGTAAACTACGATTAAAGTTCGAAACGCGGCGTACCGTACGGGCGCGTTATCAGTGGCTCCATTCGTAACGGCGCGCGCCTCCCTTCGTCCTACATTCGCCAATGATAAAACGTACCCATATTATTCTCTATATCGCCACTATCTCGCGAAGACAAGCCTATTATGCCAGCCAAGAAATATCATCTTCGCACGCTTCGCGCTCTTAGCAACAATTTCGACTCTCCCGAGTTGTAACCGAAAGCGTACGAAGTATGCATCGCCTTTCGGAACAATGCGCGCGTGACGGAATGTGATCTCCCACCGGCAGCGAAAAATGTCAAATATTTTGCCGGACGACATTTTTCCCTCGCAACTTCCTGTGTAATTCGCGTTTATTTCGCGCTATTCGAATATCCACAGCGACCGCAACATTTTTTTCGTGTATTACCGCAGCATTTTGTTTCCTTTTCTCCCCTCCCTAAAGACGATCTCTTTCCCCGTACGCGTATCGTTGGGACAAAGCCTGAAAATCAAATGAAAACCATAGCGTAAATCCTTTTTACGCCAAAGCGGCACGGATGCATTCTCGTTTAACGAGCCCGCTGCTGGCCGCGCGAGAAATCATGTGGGGAAATGGTTAGCTCGCGCACTAACCCGCAATTCCTAACCAGCGAGCCTCAAATTTCGCTCGGCTCTCGCGCGAGCGATTTACACGAGGCAACGAAGCGTGCGCACATCCGATCGTCACGAAACCACCCCCTCCTCTCTCTCTCTTTCTCTCTCGCTTTCTCGAGCATTGATTTTGCCGTGCCAATCAAGGGAGCTGCCACTAGAAAGGAGACAGAACGAAATAGAGCCCGGCTCGCCGGATCGGAATCCAGCGGCTCGTGTAACTCCGATGGAATCGAAAGGTAGTCGTTTGGAAGGAATCCGAGCTCTCTCCCCCCGCGTGTCCTGTCCCGCGACACCCCATGCTTTTTCTAACTTAAACTCGGTCCTTTGTGTTACGTCCTTTATCCGCGGCTTTCTCTTCTGAACAACCGCCATCCGACGCTTTCAAGTCTGACCGGAAGATTCCACCTCGCGACGATCTGCTCGTCTCTCTTTCTCTCTCTCTCTCTCTCTCCTCTGTTTTCCCCCTTTATCCGTCCGATTATATTTCCATGCAAATATCTTAATGGCTGTTTGTGTTTCTTTCTTTTTTACCAGGTACACGGAAATGATCAAATTCCGCCTTGGCCACGGTGTTCCGTTATCTCGCGTCCGCTTTTCAGGATCCGCGTTCGCGCGCCGACGGTCGTTTCCAACTTCGCTCGCGGTTTGGGAATATCGTGCGAAAATCAAACGCGCGGTGTCGGTCGGGCGGGCTCGCGTGCCCGTCGTTGTGCAATCGCGTGCGACGGCGGAATATCGCGGGCGCGATTTAATCTCCGCACGCGCGAGTCGTCCCACCTGTCGTAATTTCGGGGCGCCGCGCGCGCTATTATGCGCAACGACGCCTCAACTGTTGCATGCGAAGGATTAATTTCACGTGCCGACGCGAGGATCTTGTTTGAAATTTCTTGCCCGGCGGGTATTAGTGCGGTGAAATCTCCGGGCCTGAAATTTCGCCCCCCCCCCCCTCTCCCTCGACCCATTTTACCCCTGTGTACATACCAGCCACGTGATCCCGAGGGAGATCTAAAGTTCCAACCATTTCTTGCCCGGCAGGCCAGGTCGCCGAGATGATCAATGCGCCGTCTCGTCCCCCCCGAAAGTCCCTTCGCGATCGATAGGTTATCCATCGAACGGTTAATTCCAGTGTGGCATCTTGAAAGGTCGCGTTATACCCGAGAACTGCGCGAGGCAATCCGTGACGTTACAAATGACCGTCGTTAATTAATGCCCGAGTTAACCACCGCGAGGATTACGTAAGAACATTTCTTGCCCGGCCGGTGAGTACCCTTCGCGAACTTAATCGGATAATATAACTCGGGGGGGATTATTTCCGCGGATGATGTCGTCAACTCGTTTTCTAATGAGGCCACCGAGAATTTCGCTCTAGAAGAGCGCTACAATTCAATTGCTTTTGACGCGTTCCCGCCACCGAGAGCTGATTTGTGCGACGCACGAGTGTGTGCCGCGAGTGAATTTTTTTTCACGCGACACTTTTCTCACCGCACAATGGCACGCGATGGTGCATGGAATATTATTTGTTCATTTAATGCGTGAGAGACTTGCCGGGTAGAAATTAACCGGGGCGTCCCTCAAGTCTACGGTGGCTCTGGATGTAGGTATGCCCCAAAATAGTCTTAATTGGGCCTAGAAAGGCACATCTTGGATGAAATTTCGTGAATAAGCTCTGAATAGGCATCGACGTGACGTGAGTGCCTCTAACAAGGCCTATAGCTCACAGGGCGTAGGTCTCAGTTAGATTGACAAAACTGGCCTTAAATTGTACGAACATTATGTTTTTGTATAGGGCCTAAATAGAAATGGGGAAAAATTGCGGGCCTTTCTAACGCCCGTTTTAAGTTTCTACTCGGGTTACGATTTTACGGTTTTAACGAGGTAACATGGACGACGTGGATCTCAGGCTGCGTACTGAAAAGAAAAGTCTCGAATCAAGTCTTGCTACTGGAACTGGCCAGGTTTTAGCCTTGTATCACAAAAGTTAATTCGAGGTAACGTACAGATGGCTGCGTTTCTGCTCAGACAGACTCGAAATACCGGCACGCCTCTGGTATTTGACCCCGAGGCTTTCCATGAGCCCTATTGCCATCAGTGCGCCCCTCACACTGTTTCATTCTGCATCAGTGCGGGCTTCATCGTGTAAGCGCAAGGTTATGTTCTGAGAGAAGTTACGGTATACTCCCAGCCACTTTCCAGTCCACGCGAAACTTTTGGCGAATTTAGCGGACCGAAATTAATTAACGGAAGACAATGTTCACCTGCGACCGCCAAATTGGCTCGCTCCACTGGCAGTTACGAAAATTCGATGACAAATGCAACGTTGTGTTGTACGGTGATCAACCGACCCTAGCGAAGTATTCTTCAGTGAACGTATATTTAATAGTTCCTCATCTTACCAGCTGTAACGTCATTAATAGAATTGTTCATTCTGACTTATTCCCCTCGCGGAAGTCGTAATTAAATCTCCGCCTTCGTTTTACAACTTGAATTTCTCTCGCGCTGCACTCTCCAAATTTCTTGGAGTGGAATCCCACTGAAAACAAGTTGAAAGTGGCGGTATTTCCACTCGAAGCTATATAGCGAAAATATTGCCGCTCGAAATCGCAAGAATGAATGTTTCATGCTTAGAGTGGGTTCTGATTCCGTATGAGCGAATGTTTCGATCGATTGGAGCGAATATGCGCCTGTTACGGTGAAGCATGTCAGATTCACTCTTCAATTTCGAGTGAAAATATTCATTCGACGATTCAGAGTGGAGAATTCACTTTATATGAGTGAAAGGTCACTCGAATTCGAGTGATTTGCCGGCCACTGTATTTTCCGAGTGAGATTTCGCTCCAAGAAATTTAGAGAGTAACACAATGGATAATGAAAATTCATTTTAATTGCGACTCTTAGTTCATATTTTGTCTAATCGTTATTGATTCTTGTAATATTTCTTTACGCATTTAGAAAATTTACATCTGAACGGAGAAAAAGATTTTTTCGATTTAATAAAATTTCTCTGATTGAAACAAATTTGTCTTTTGGAATAGAAAGTAAACTAATACTTGATTCAGCAAACAAGCTTTGTTTTTCTAGGTATATTTATCTCTCGCCGCGGAAGCGAATACGCAATAATAAAATTATTACTGCAATTTATAAATTGCAACACGGTAGACAACAGAGCTTTCTGCTAAATTGACTCAGATGACGGAATACGATTTTCCGCGTCAACGTTGGTACGAAAGTTACTTTATACACACTATATGATCGACATGGAATAATTTATTCTATCGATTATCCGCTCGAGTGCCATAGCGGGCGCATGCGGGCGACACGCTAAAATTTGGTTAAAATCACCAACGACGCAGCAAAATTTTTAATGTCGAAGCTGTCAAGCAAGAGTGGTGCGAAAATCCATTAAAATTTCCGAGCGTCGTTGAAAACGACGATGTAACTGTTTTCTCATAAGATGTCGAGAGCTCTCTTGCTATTAATGTTATTTCTGTGATGCGATTACTTCTTTTTTCCAGAGAATCAATTTGCATTTTTATCAGACTGCGGGAGATATAAATTATTTCCGCAAAATAGAAGATGGATGCATGCAGTTTTTCTCAAGCTGTTTGCATTTTAATACATTTCATAAAAGTGTTTGAGATAAATGCGGAAGTAAAGCTGACGTGTATCGTAATTGCTTTTATTGCGAATCGGGGTTTTTTTTAATACGAGGAGGGTGATCGAATTCCTTTCACTTATTAATTGTACGATGTTCTTACTTATTAATTGCGTTCGTTCAAATATCTTTTACACATTTTATTTTAAATTTGACAAAAGTATCTGTCGTAATTTATTTATTTTATTTCTTGTTGAGAATCTTTTATATTAGTGGTTTGTGCGCAAAAATTCATCGGAACATCTATAATTTGATTTAAAAATATAAGTCATTTTACAAACGCGAAATTATACAATTTAAGTGAACGTCCCAATTAGTGACGGTGTCCCAATTTCAAACTTCCGAACGGAATAAATTTTATGCATAATATTTAACACGTGTATTATTAATTTATTAATTTATCCTCACGATGAGGTTACTTCATCACTAACTGGGACACTCACCCGAGAGAGAAGGCAACAAATGCCGAGTAACGATAATAAAAGAAATACGCTGAAAAATCCGGTGAACTTTTGCAAACTTCCCGCATTATCTTTTAATAATTATACGACGGACCTACCTTGACCCAGGTTTCGTGTTTGAATCCCACCGGTTCCCGAATCAGACTCGACTCCCCCGCTCGCACCCGTTTTACAGCCTTTGTCGGGCACTCGTAGTTTCCTTCAAGTTCGCCGCCGTGTCGCCGCGTTCTCTGCAAGGGAAGAAGAACAACCGCCATCAATCTCGGTAGCGCGCGAACAAGAGTTCGATCGCGTCACTGATTTAAAAGTTGAACGGAACCCGTGAAGCCGTGTCGACGATCGTTGAGCGCGAATGAAGACGTCAATAATGTCACCTCAGGCCGGGCTCTTCTCCGACGAAAACTAGCGCGCGCAAACACTGCCGCGCGATGTCGTCTCTTTCGACGTACGTCGCGCGATGAATTGCGGCAAGTTTCAATGAATTGCCGCGGGCTTGTTACGCTTAGCTCGCGAAACGCTCGGAAGTAGCTTTCGAAAACGGGCCCCGCTATTGCGCACGTTATAACAAAACTGACGTTTGCACAGCTGTTACAATAATTCATACAGCGTAAAAGGCTAAAGTGTTTTTGGAGAGCAAACGTTACCGCGGGCGCAATTATCGTCTCACTAATGATGCACGTGATATACATTGTTATTATTATTAAGTAGTAACGCATCGCGTATAATGCCACACGAAAGCTTCTAATAACACTCGCGTTTCTATGGTTACGCGATGCGTGAGCGCGAATGAGCGAGCGAGCGCGCGGGTTGTTTTGCCAGATTTACGTCATATTATATCACGGTGCACGTACGGACGGTAATACGCGCGCTTACCTGCCAGCGAAATTTATAAAATCACACGCCATTGGTGCTTTTCGCGCGCATATCGAATCCGATGATGAAATATCGGCGCCGTGCGCGAAGATTTTCTTCCTGAAAGAGGGCAAACTCTCCCTCTCTCTCTCTCTCGCTCTCTCTTCTAAGAGAAAGTAATTTGAATATCTTCGCCCGTTGCTTTCTCACACGTCTACGTTCCATCGACGTCCCCAAGCTGCTTCGTAATTTCAACCGCAGGCATAGCTCACGTGATACGATTCGTATGCCGCGGAAACATCGCTCGAGGAAGCTTTATATCAACGATCTTCAAAGAGCGGAAAATAGCGGCGCGCGTCTTCCCATCTCCGCCATGTACGTTGCCGCGTATTTTCCTCCCCTTCCCCTTCTCTCATTCGGGACCAACACCCTCCGACCAGTCGCCCTTTTCGATGTACTTTATCGCACTACGTTGGAAGCAGTTCATGTATCCGCCGTAACGGCGCGTAATGCTGCTTTTCTTCTTCGTTTTTTTCTTTCTTTTCCTTCTTGACAAGGATCCTAGATAGAGATAGTGGAAATGAGATTTCCAGGAGCAATTTGAAGCGAATTTGCCTGTAAAAGGGTCGAGATGGAGGCCGGGTTCGAAAAGGGTGGTCGCGTTGGAAGAAATACAACTACGACGATGACTATGACGAAGAAGAAGAAGAAGCGGAAGAAGGGCGACACTGCAGAATGGACTGCTTTATTATGGGGTCTATTCAGCGTCTTGGATTTTTCCGTCGAGTCAGCTTTGCATTGTGCGCTCTAGTCGCCGGGAATTTGCAGGCGGAACGGATACCACGGAGCAATTCGAGCGGATCGTTCGCGCAACGCGCCCTCCGCCCTGTGCAAAGTATAACGGCGCGTGTAACGTCGCTTGTAGAAACGTTCGAGTAATCTAAGCCGCATTAAGACTCGGAGATGTTGGGGGTAAGTTGAAACTACGAGGCCACCGCCATACATCCCGACGTAATCCGACATATCTTCCGGCTTAATCCTTTCGGCCGGATGTACGTGCGGCGCAAACTTTCTTCCGATCTGAGAAAATTGCGCCATCCAGGGAGTTCGTCGATATGGAGGGGAACTCGCGTGCGCTTTCGCAAGTTCGTCAATAACGACGGGAAATTCAAACTGCGCCGTCGAAGCAGCTAAACTGCATGGCGCATTGCAAGCGAAAGCTTTCAACGGTGCGAGCGGACGAACGAACGACCGAAATGAATCGAATCATTTTCAAATTAACTGGAATGAAATGAAGCCGTGGAGAAGAATTCCTATTCCCGTGGTCTTTTGTCCGGCGAATAGCGCATTAGACTATAACAATGCTTCTCGTGCGAAGCTATAAATTTCGCATCACTCTATCGATGGTCGTCTCTTTTAAAAGCTCGAACGAAGATTGATCGACGCGGCGTGATGTAGTTTCCGCGTGTGACATCACGTGGATGACGAAAATCGCGTTAAATGCATTCACGATTCTCGCGACTGTAGTTTGAGTAGTGGGCATGCATCGTGGCGGACATTATCCCCAAGAAAATAGTATCGGAATTTGAAACACAGAGCAACGTTCGAAAAAGTCATAAAATTCCCGAAATTCATACAGCAAGATAATTTCGAGAATTTCGAGAGGTAATTTTAAGAGAGTTGCTTTTCGGAAAATTCGGGTGATTCGGTGTTCGAGTTTCGGGATTATGACTTTTCGGAACATTACTTCGTGTCTTGGATTTCGAGATTTGACTTTTCTAGAACAATGCATGTCCACCGTCTAAGTTTCAAGTACACATTCCCCGTCATATTGTGTATAATTTGTTTCTAATTTGTACGAATCTCGTATACCGAGAAAAACTCAATTTTGATTTGTATGTAATTGTTGAAATTTAAAGGCTAATCCCTTTTCTTACTCGTACTCGTCAGGCTCGCAAGAAAGTAGGAGACAGCTATATCGCAGACTTGCTAAATCTTCCGCGCCATCCTGTTTCCGCCAATATGGAAGCTCCGCGAATTTCCATAAAATTGGGAAACCGCGGCTGAAACGAGCGTAAAGTCTAGAATGTCGTATAAATTCAAACTTCCGCATTCCAAATTTCTTTCCGCCGGCATGAACCACATTTTGGCATACGTAACAAGAAATTAAATTCTCGCAGAAAAGACACTTTACGATCCAATATAATATGCCCTTTTAGCAAGAAAATAGTTTATCGAGAAATAAGTTTAATGTATTAACTACAACAAAATGAAGCTACGAGAATTAAAACGCTAATACAGTTACCGCTTCAAGAGAGAATGCAAATGAAATGGACCAATCTAGGAATACAAATAAAATATTTAATCCAATGTTGAATGTATTTCTTTAATATTTCTCGTTGTGTGAAACAACAACGTTGTTGTGTGAAACGTTTGGACTTTACTTTTGTACGACGCATATGTGCGCAACGCGAAATTCATTTTCATGTCCTAATCTAATCTCCGAATCTTGATTACAACACATTGAAATCACCCTTCAGAAAACAAAGAGTCTGTTTGATGTACTACAATGCTTGTGTGCAAGTAGACGTGAATTTTTATAGCAGCGAGCGAACTCCGCGGAAATAAAAATGTAAAAGTTCGCGAAAGAATCGGTGCCGTGAAAAGCCACGACAAGCCGCCCTGGTTGAAGCAAGAAAGAGCACTTTGAAGCTGGCTTGGTACCATTCATTCGAGTGGGTGATTTTTCCTGGTTTTTCGTGACGACGGCAATCCAACGGTTCAATCGCCGGTAGATCTGCCTTTGAGTTCTCCTGTTCCATCGAAGTCGCCCTTATTTGAAGACTCGATTGTCCAACCGTGATTTAATCAATTACAGCTCCGATATTCCAATCGCTAAATCCACTCCAACTTGAGGGAAAAAAGTCACCTGTAGATAATACATCTGTAAATTCAGTGAATCTAAACTGTTCGCTATTGCAAAATGACTATATAATGATTCGAGAAAAAATACTTAAAAAATAAAAAAACAACATTTTTCCTTTCGTGGAATTTTATATCTTTGTACCACGAATTCAGTTTCGCTAGACAGTATCAGCATCGTACGCTTTCCACGCGTTACAATGCTAGTTTCAATTTAACGTGCTCATCGCGACTCGAGCATTCCTTTCATTTCGAGTCTCTCTGCGCGCGGACCTTGTGCACTCGATCTCATTCATCACGGCAATTTTCCCACTTCTTGTATGAAGAATCCAACAATTCGGATTCTTGGGGGCGAGATCGTTACCGGGCTGCCTTCATTTTGAACATCCCCGACAAAAGTCGAACGCAGCCCTACCTTTCATTATCGTACTTCAGACCGATTCTCAAAAACGGAACACGGAGTACTTACACGCCGAGAAATTCTACAAGAGTGGAGAACTGACGTGAGAAGCACACATTGCCGCGCGCCCAATATTTCTTAGCCGTATCTCGAAACTTTGGCGGATGGAAATTTACTGGTATGAGTATATATAATTATATTTCGAGATAATGGTGATCAAATAATCACCCATTTCACATGTGTATCCGCGTGTATAATTGTACTACTTCTTAGTTATCATATTATTACGCATCATTATGAATCGCGCTTGGACAAATGTGCGTAATTAATCGGCCTTGATTATATTTCCCGCGATGCGTATAATCTCTCGAAGGGGTGAAACGGGGAGAAAAATCTTGTCGTGTAACTATTTCCGCGCGGAAAAACTCTCGCGTCAAATGCGATGACGCGTCGGCAGCACTTTTCAGACCCGAATCAGAGTCGTCACGGAAAAACACCGTTAATCGTTCCAAGTTAATAGCTTTTTCTCTCGCGATTACCAACGAGGATCCTCTGACGGTGCGGTACCGATAAAAGCAGTGCCCAGGCACTGGTAATTGCCGGCGGCGATAAAGACGGAAGGGAATAACGGTGTTTGCGAGGCACTTTCAGAAAAATACGCGGCGTGTACGGCTCGTAGCGTCGCGCCGCTGCTACCTGCATTACGGCCGGTCATTTCCCACTATTTCCCAACCATTTCTGGTTCAGATACTTCGCCGGGTCTCCCAACGGAAATGGCGGGTACTTACGCGCGCAATAATAGCGTAAAAGCATCGAGAAATTGCTGATAATGTTTGTTACCACTTACGTCCCGATGACGATTCATTTATTAAAATTGCGAAAGCCTCCTCGTTATCGCTCTTTAAAGCGCAATCGATATATTATCATTGAGAAGTAGTAATGCCACACTTGAAATTTCTTTCTGAGAGAGACCCTCTCTTCGAAATTCTCCCCTCCTCGAAGAGGAAGGATTCATAATTCCTGCGAGCTGAGGCGACACTCTAAAGAGTGTTCTTTTAAGAATTTCTCGGAGAAAACGATTTGTGACTTTTTATACAGGCTACTCTGTATATTAGGGGTGTTACATCCGTCGTCCCCGGCAGTAATTAAATCCGACTATATACTTAATTACATTTGACCCCGTTAATTTAACTAGCGCATCAAGTCAAGACGTGGCAAATAATCAAAACTTACTGAATTAACGAGGCCACCCCGTGCCGATTCGCAGTGGCGCGGCGGATACGTAATTAAAGGTCGTGTAAATTCCGCCGCCGCTACGCCGTACGCTGAAGTAAACAAGATAATCTGTAATATCTCATGNGAAAATTTTCATAAAACCCGCCCCCCCCCCCCCCCCCCCCCACCACCACCGTTCGCCAACACGCTTGGCAAATGTAATTATACATTTATCCATTAGCGAAATTATATTATACACAAATTTCAATATATCCCTCTACCTACTTTTGCCTTTCGCGATATTTTATACAGAAATACACTTCAATAAATCACAATGCTGATATTTGTTAAACTCTTATAAACAAATACGTGAAACAATCGCGCGCGCGTTTACAATTTATATTAAGCATATTCGCATCATCTCTGACATTTTCCGCTTTAAGTGCCTTTATCTAAATAAAAAAAAAGGGCAGGAAATAAATGAATAATGGGGGTTCACTCTTTCCGGGAGAGGGTGGAAGGGGAGGGAGAACCATGGGGGAGCGTTTTATAATTCCTGCATGCTAGTTTAACGCGCCCGTAAATTGTTCCCGTCGCGTAAACTTTCCCGAGAAATTCGCATTACAACTGCGACCGCGCGGTAGCCGGCGCGTCATTGAATATTCAGTTAAACCTACAAACATCCTACCGCGATTCGGGGCGGAGGGGAGCGCGGAACGAGCCAGGAGACGGGCCGAGTACGTTGAAAATCCTGCCGGTTTTCGCCGGGCAACAGCCGCCGGCGAATGATCATCCGCGGACGGTCATGTTCAGCGGCCGGCACGGTAAAAGCGGCGCTCGCTCGTATAAACCCTTGGCGATATTGAATGGAATGACCGCGCGAGGGGCCGAGCTGTAAAACCATCGATACGCTTGTCGGTCGAGCGCCAACAAGGCGTCTGACCGGTGGAACTACTGCAAATCGGAAACTGTGGAGGCTCCTATAATGGTGCGGGATGTTCCCGCAGCGGTCACGGCTGCAAAGGGTTAATGCGATACCGTTGGATCGGGAAAATTCGCCGCTAGAGACGCGGAGGAGCTCGCT